AGGCCCACTGCCTGTCCACAGTGTCTCAGTCACAGAAAAAGGAGCTCTTCTTGGCAGACCAGGATGGCAAATCCCATGATGTTATGATAAAAAGAGGCTTAAAGAGCATTTAGGTGACAGCACCTGAGACACTCAAGTTTCCTGGCTAGAAACAGGAAGAACAACCTGGTATAACTGGATCCTAGAGCAGTGGTATTAACATACATAAGGAAAAGCCTGCCTGCTAGGAAGAGCGTTGGTCAAATTGTCCAAGGAAGAATTGATAAGCAAGACCCAGGGGAGAGTGAGTTCCTATAGATTGCTGGTAACTCCTCAGTCTTGTAGCCTGCCCCCCAACAATCAGCTAGTGCATGGATTTCCAGATTTCATTTTATCCTCAGAGCTCTTTCATCAAATGAATTCTTATGCACTGGCCCAAATATTCAACAGACCAAGGACAAGCATGGTGACATGAAGGGGACAGCCTGGAGGCCATGTAATTGCACGCCACCCCCAGCTCAAGAAGCCCCAAGGTGTCTCTTAGGAACCCCAGGGCTCCTTGGACCATAATTTTAAAAGCCCTGAGCCAATTCATCACCTTTACTTTGGAGCCTTGGAGACTGAGGCCTAGTGAGACCAAAAAACTTGTGGCATAACTGGGGCAGGAACTCAGGAGTCCTGGCTCTCAGGGCAGTATAAATTCTGCTGCTTCCTATTGTCTATGAATAGCTAAATACTCCTAAATAAAAACACATGAAATAAAATTAATTAAATAATAGTTTTAAAGCAAACTTGTTTGTTAATATGTTCATATGATGAGAAGTCTTTTCTACCTACGTGCTTTAATTTAAAAGACAAAAGAAGGAACAGGAGCCAAGATAAATAACAAGGTGGAGGATGTGGGGAATGTCAGGAAAAGATGGTAATCCATCACAGACAGGGCCAAAAAATGGCAAACAGAAGGACCTGAGGGCCCAGCATGTTTTTTGATCTTGGCACAATTTGGTCTATACCCAGCTTTGCAAATGATCATACTGGGGGGCTTCTAGAAAATATTCCCCTCCTTGATAAAAAGATAGATCTCCAAGGAGAAAGCTTTTTTGCTCGGGGTTTTTATCTTACAAAAATGAGGGAGATGTTTGCCGACACAGCTACATGGCAGAGCTTGAGTCCTTGAAGTCACTGTTGAGGGGCTACACCAACCTGAACTGCCTCCTTCTAGACTTCTTATTATGGAGGATTAATATGCTTCCCTAATTTAAGTTATAGCTAATGGGACAGCCTGTTACTTGCACCAGAAGCACTCTAATTGGCACAGAGAAGCATCGGGGGTAAGGGTGAATGATCAGAAAAAGCTTCCTAAAGAGAGTGGTTTTGAAGTGGAAATCTGAAGGATAACTAAGTAAGGATAAGAGTTAATCAGGTGATGAAACAGAAAAAGGGAGAGGGAAGTTTTCCACTAGAGGGACCAGCTTGGGAGAAGTACAGAGGAGAGTATGGTGCATTTGACAAATCGAAAGACATTGAGGGTAGAAATATTGGCAGGAGTCAAGTCACGAGGGGCTGATGAAAGCATTTGGACTTTTCTCAGGGCATCTGGAATCCATTGAAGAGTTGTAGTGAAGGAAGTGACATAATCAGGCTTGCATTTAAAAATATTACCCTGGTGAATGGATTGGAAAGAGGTGAGAGTAAGTGTACGGAATCCAACTGGAGGTCACGATCATAGCCTAGTGATCAGGGATGATGATGGTTTGGACTCATAGAAGTGGGTACTGTGGGAGAACAGAGAAAGAAGACAAACTTGAAAGATATTAAAATAATTGATAGTAAAACTTGGTGACTGGTTGTGGGGTGTGGGACAGAAGTCAAAGATGGTGCTCAGAGTTTTTGGCTTGACCATCTGACAGAGACTACGGGGGAGGGGCAAGATTTAGGGAGTAAGATGACCTTAGCTTAGGACACACTATCTCTGAGATGGAATAAGTGGAGATATCCAGCAGGCAATTGAACATGTGAGTCTGATAGGATTGATATTTGGGCTAGACATATAGATTTGGATCATGGCATGTCAATGTCATCAAAGTTATAAAAGTGGATGAGTTTTCCTAGGGAGAGGGTGAGGAATGGAGCAACCTAGTAGAGAAGAGGATGAGGGAGCTCCAGGACCAGAACGTTGGGTTGGAGTCTGAGGTGGTCTCCTCATTACCCACGTGACTTTGGCCATGTTACTTAACCTTTTTAAGCCTTAGTATTCTTAACTATAAAATGAGAACAATGAAACTACCTATCTCATGGAATTATTGTGAGGACTAAATAAATGAATACATCAAAAGCAATCTGAACAGACCTCAACTTGTAGGCAATAATAGTAGTGGTATTAGTAGCATTCAGGGCTGACTTAATGGCTCGGGCAGAGGAGGCACCGTGCCTAGGGCTCACGAAATGCCTTATTTTTTTTTTTAATCAGAAAAAATGACCTTTTAGGCTAAAGAAAATGCCTTAATATATGATTTTAATATCTTTTTCTTTGTACTAGCACAATGTTAAAATATAACTTTTAATGGTTTTTCATGGCGGAGGGAGGAGCCCACAAAGGTAAAAGTGTTAGGGCCTGTGGAAGTCAAAATGTGGCCCTGGTAGCAGTGGTGGGATAGATTATAAAAAACATTTTAGGGTTGGCAGAGGTAGAGGACCCTACAGAAGGGTCTGAGAAGGAGGGCTCAGCAATGTCAGAGGAGAGGTAGGAGAGACTCATGCTGTGGAAGCCAAGGGCAGAAAGGCTTTGAGAAGGACTCTGTCAAATGCTGCCAAGGGGTTAGGTAGGAAGGTAACTGAAAGTACCCAGGGGATTTAGTGACAAGGACCATTTCTTGATGAGACACGTTTCAGTAGCAAGATTGGGAAGACAGACTGTAGTGCTGCAAGGAGTGGCAGGAAGGTAAGAAAATGAAGATGACGGATTTAGGCATTGCTCAGAAAGTTTGGCTCAGACAGAAAAGGTCTTCAAGTGGGGGCACCAGCTAGTTTTCTGGCATCCAAACATGTCTCTGCCTAGCTCCCAGATACATGCAAAATTGTTTAAAGTCATGATACTAGGAGGGCTAGTGGCTCTTGCACCTTAGAGCTTCAGAGTGATAAACCCAGAGGAGGCAGTGCCTGCCCAGGAGTCCATAGGCCAGTAGTTGAGTGTGAGGACAAGAGCCCAGGCCTGAGATGTCCACCTGGGGCTTCTATCAGACCCCTCTGGCCCTTCCAACTCCAGTCCTAGATGTGTGACTCACAAAGAAAGCATTCAGTTGGTGTTTTTGTTTCATTTGTTTCAAGAGACCTCCTATAACTTTTGTCCCATTTTAAAAATTAAAATAGTTGGATAGACCATAATCATGGAACTTAGAAAATGCTTTGCAGTGGCTACCCCTGCTCCACTGTTGCTCCCAGGTGGTGCTGGCACAGTCCTGCGACCTACTGAGAGAGGCTATGGGAACATGTGGCTCCCTGGACCATCTCCCCAGCAGAGAGGTCCTTCAGCCCAATACAGTACTGGTCAATATGGAAACGATTCCCCAAGAATACCTGTGCATTTTTGCCCAGTGTGGCGTGCTGTCTTGGAGGGGCCTCCATGGTCACATGATAGCTACTCAGAACATCTTCCAGTAGCAGTTGCACACCCACCAGTTCTCCATGAGCCACCTTGTGGTCACGGTCACTCAACCCACAGAGGCACAGCTAAAAAAACAAAAAAACCTTCCATTTGAAGACCATATATATATTTTACATATGGTTTTTAGGAAGAAAACTAGGAGTAACTGTATTTACAAGAACCCATCCTCTCAACTGCTACAAAATTCATAAAAACCAGAGTAACATTTCTAACTTAAAGTTTTCTTTGAGCACATCAAACTTTTGGCTCTGTATGAAAATGCCAAGTTTCCACCCCTTACAGCAGATCTGACATGGTGAATGTATAGTGTGATATCAATTTTTCCTTAAAAGTACAGATATAAACACACATATGCAGAGAGAAAATACCAGGGAAATAAAATGTGAACTGTAATTGTCTCTTAGTTATGGGACGATGGTTGATTTTTTTATTTTATTTTACCATTTTATTTTATTTTATTTTATTTTATTTTATTTTATTTTATTTTTTAAGAGAGTCTCACACTGTCACCAGGCTGGAGTGCAATGGCATGATCTCAGCTCCCTGCAACCTCCATCTCCTGGGTTCAAGTGATTCTCATGCTTCACCCTCCTGAGTAGCTGGGACTATAGGCGTGTGCCACCACACCCAGATAATTTTTGTATTTTCAGTAGAGACGGGCTTTCACCTTGTTGCCCAGGCCAGTCTTGAACTCCTGAGCTCAAGTGATCTGCCCACCTTGGCCTCCCAAAGTGCTGGGATTACAGGTGTGAGCCACACCCAGCCATATGGTTAATTTTTAAAGACCATTCTTACTATTTTACTTAAAAAACCTATTCTACTTATGGATAATTTTGAATATATAGAAATCAAACAGAAAAGTTCCTATCACATAGCCCCAAGAACCATTAACCCATGGCCAGTGCCACCCCATCCACCCACTCCCCCACCTCCACATGGTTTTGAAGCGTATTTATGGTTGATTTTCATGTTGTTCTTAATACTTTTCTATGCTTTCTATTTTTTAAATAAAAACAATATTTACTTAAATAATCAGGGGAAAACATTTAATAATGAAAAGAATCTAACAATTTAAAAGAAGTTAATGGCGGAAAAGAAAACAATGAAAAGAAATTCTCCCGATGAGTCCTGCTTTAAAAAGTTCCCTTCCCACCACTCTTTATGGACAGGTCAGGAGTCACACATCGCTGAGCCACCAGCCTGGGAGTTTCTCTAGGAGGCCCAGCCCATGCCTGGAGATGACTGGCCATTCTCCCAGATCACTACTGTTACGAGAACTGCAGCTGAGTCTACAACCCAGGCCCACGCCAGTTGAGAGCATGCTTCCCTTCTATCATAAGAAAATGTGACTCACCTCGTGGCCTCAGGTTTACAGCTTCAAAATCAAACACCCTGCTTATCTCACACAGTTTTCATCACGGGTGAGAGTAGGAAGATCTGACCTGTGGACCCAATGGCAACCATCTTTGCAGTCTGCACTCAGTTCTCTCTGTAACAATGGAGAAGACCTATCCTACCTGCATATTATATTCCAGGGCATCTGGGCTGCTACTCATAGCTGGGAATAGTCCTCCATCTTCCAGAAATGCTCTCCAAGGAAACAGCTCAAATGCCTAAGAGAACAAAATAATAAACATGATAATGCTGTACTTTGAGTTGAAAATTAATAGATATCTGTATATGAATAGGATATCTGTGTCTGCACCCCAAAACAATTTTGGATGACTTATTTATTACATGGAAGTATTTCTTGAAACTTCCTAGTGATACAGGAGAGAGTAATAATCTATTTTTTCAATAATTTTCTCAGCAGATGGTGAAACACAGAAGAGTACTGAAGATTTCAGTGTAATTAATCAGCACCAGTGTTCAGAAGTTCCAGAGCAGTATAACAACAATGGGACACATTTAAAATCAATAAAAATAAATTTACTCAAATGCTCTCAATATCAGGAACCTTAAAAAGTTGTCCTTCATCACTATTGTGCTCCAGTTCTAGGTAACAACTCAAGACCAGCGCCACAAATTATTACATGTGAGTCTCTGTCTCCTCCGTATCACTAACCAATAGCTAAGACATCCTCTGTCCCTTGTGATACCATGTGCAGCCCTGGAACCAGTGAGCCTGCCTATCTGACCCCATTCTACACTTCCAGACCTGGTTCTGGTTTTAGTCAAGTCCTGGAGTTGCAGTTGATTCTGACAGCAAGAAGCCAGGACTCCTGTATCCACCTAATCCCAGGCAACACCCAAAGGTAGCAAGAGCAGATCCAGTGGTCACCATCCAGCCCTGTCTTCTGGGTCTACATGAGGGCCAAGGCTTGGGCCCAAAGTCACTGTCTTGCAGCCACTGCAGGTAGAAATGTTGGTGTCCCTTGGCTTAGCACTATAAGATCAGAATATTAAGTTGGAAATTTTGGAGTCGAAAGACCAGGGATTGTGAGGTAGTTTGAAAGAGATATCCACTAGTTCCTTGATACTCCTCCTGTAAAGAGGTGGAGCTTAATTCCGCACCATCCCCCCTACTTGAATGTGTGCTGGACTTAGTGACTCACTTCCAGTGAAAAGAATATGACAGAAGTAATGAGAGTCACTTGTGAAATCTGGTAATAAAAACACTGTGACTTCCATCTTGGGTTCTCTCTTGGACTGTTTGTGCTGGGGGAAGCCATCTACTGTGTTGCAAGGAAGTTCGGTGGAGAAGCATATGTGAATAAGCCTGGAAGTGGATCTTCTGGTGCCCACCAGCAGCTATAGGAGTGGGCTTGGAGGCAGGTTGTCCTCCAGTCAAGCCTTGAGATGATTACAGCCCTAGCCAACATCTTGACTCATGAGAGACCCTGAGCCAGAACTACCCACCTAAGCTGCTCCCAGATTCCTGATCCTCAGAAACTATGTGAGATAATGAATGTCTATTGCTTTAATCTGCCAAACTTTAGGGTAAATCATTATGCAGCAATAAGTAATTAATACAGCTTGCAACCTGGTGCTGCCATGACTCTGGAATAGTCCGATCTCTGGCCTTCCTGAATCTTGAACTCTTTGGTTGTAGAAGGTGGGTAATATTTTTCCTGCCTAGGAGCAACAATAGTTGCCAGGCTTGCCTTCAACAACAGGTGCTATAACCAGGGCTATTGAAAACCCAGCTGCTGACTTCATTTATGCATTGCAATTGCTATCATGACTATTTATTACATGGAGAAGATTAAGTGTTTGTTTTGCTATCAACTGTGAACAGACAAGCTGTTGCCCCGATCAGCCTGTTGAGTGTTTGGAGGCCAAGACCCTGACTGGGAATCACAGCTGGCCCTGGGGCCCAGACTGTTCCACTGTGCAAGTGAAGCTGAGCCAGTGAAGACAGAGGGCATTAAAGTCTTGAAAGCCCCTGCAGAATCTAAACCAAATGGAAACAAACAGCCTAAATTCCCTACACACAGCACAACATTTACAGTATAAAAATACGTCAGAAACACACCTGGAGGCTCCGTGGATCCAGTGGCTGGGGCAGGCTGAGCTGCGAGGCAAAAATGCTCTTCCTGAGACAGTTGCTCAGTGCTGGTAGCCCATGGCACATGCCGTCTGTGACAGACTGGTAGGCAGGAACATTTCCAGCTGCCAAAAACGTTCTTCTACCAAAACATGGGGTCGGGGGGGCATTTCATTAAAAGCAGTTACTTACATTTCTAAAGTTCAAAACTTTCCTCAAAATTACGGAAGCAAGAAAACATTTCGAGATATTAACAGGTTCCTTCTTCAGCCACATCAACCCCCGTGCCCATTACCCTTGACTTTCACAGTTCATAGCCCTCATGGGGAGGGTTGGCATACTCTCGACTAGCACTGTCTAGCAGAACAGTCTGCAATGGTGGAAATGTCCTATATTTGCACTATCCAATAGAGTAGCCTCTGGCCACGTGTGGCAGTTGTACACTTGAAATGTGACTACTGTGACTGAGGGAATGAATTTTTAATTTTCTTTTTCTTCTTTTTCTTTTTTTAAAGGCTAGTCAAGCGAAGCAGTGTGAGTGGAAAAAGAATAAAGCAATCTGTAACTGGTTGTGATCAATTAGTTGTAAACACGACTGCACTCAGACCAGCCCGAATTTTTAATTTTCTTTCATTTAAATTAATAATAATTTTAATTAAATTAAATAGCCACATGTGTCTACTGAATAGTGCAGCTGTAGCTCTAGAAAAAAGCTATCAATTGTTTATTGAATGAATTATTTTAAGACCAAAAGCTGAGACAACACTTCTTTATAAAAACTAAATTTAAAATTTTAAGCCTTCTTGGGGTTTGGGGGAGAAAAGTTCTTGTTTGGTTTTAAACAAAACTTGGCTTTGTATACCAAGAACCACAAACCCTGAAGACTGGAGCATGAAATTTATACCATAAGTCAGAGAGAAGGAAGTATGCATGATAAATTAGAATGATTTTTCTTGCCTAAAAGGAAATAAGAGTTAAACAAGGAAAGACTACTAGAGCTTAGTTCTAGTGGATGCCTAAGGAAAGATGCTGGATAAGTTGGAGGAGGGTATCCCAGAGCAGAAGGTCCCTTTTGCTTGGATTCTCTGTGAGGTGGCCTCCCAGGAAGACTAGCAGCCCCTCAAAGTGGGGAGAAAGACCCTCACACGTGGGTATCCAGAGGAATGCTGAACAGCAGGCTAAACAGAAGAGGCCTGGGGTGGGCCAGCTCACCCACAGCAGAGATAAAGGAAGTGGCTTTGTCTTCCCAGCTGCCAGGAAGATTTGAAAGCACTGACAGAAACTTAGATCACCTCTGAGAGGATGGTAGAATGAGAAGAGTGTGGTGTGAGGCCTAAACTTAAGGTCCAAAATTTGTGCTGCCTTGACTTCTGGCAAAACCAGGAGGCCTCAAATAGCTTAGCCACAAGGTCCCCCACTCCCCACTCTGTTCCCACAGATAAGGTCTCCAGGTTTAACGACCCTCCTTATCAAAGGAACCAGGTGCAATTCCTGCTTATCCCTGAGTAGCGGTTTCAGTTCCCTGCCAGACCACAGCATTATTCAAATCAATCACCCCTTCCTGTGTGAAGCACAGAACATCACTCTCTCCTGATATTACAAAACCTGCCTCCCACAGCCCTTGCTTGTTCACTCTGTTCCCAAGTGGCCCTGTATGGGGGGACAGTGTCCTCTTCCTCTGGATTATGCCTGTGAGTAATAAATTACTACTCGCCCCATCTGTCATTCACCCCATCTGTCCAGGGTCGGGTGTTTGGCCATCCCCATGACCCTAGGGCAGGACCCTTCCCTCTCCAGCAAGTGAAGAGGAGGTGATTAAAACAAAGGGGAAGAGGGAGAATCTTGCATTAACTGATTTTAAATCTCAAATGGATCACTTTTAAACTCCAAGTGTGATTCAGTAATGTGGCATTAGAAAGTTTAATCTTCTTGCCATCAGTAAAAGCTATTTTGAACCACAGGGAACTCACAGGGCACATGCTAGAGTTTTCCTCCAGGTAAGAACTTAATGAAACCTGCAAAGTGGCCCGGAGGAGACCAGGCAAATCTCTTTGCTTCTCAGATGCCAAAAACCAGGGCCGTGACCTCGTTCAGCACTGCTTATGTGAGGGCCCAGGCTCCTATGTGTCTCCCAGGAATCCCCAGACAACCCAAAGGACACTTTATTTTTAAATTTTTATTTCTATTGGTTTTTAGAGACAGGATCCCTGTTGCCCAGGCTGGGGTGCAGCAGCGCAACCATAGCTCACAACAGTCTCAAATTCCTGGGCTCAGGGGATCCTCCCACATAGGCCTCCCAAAGTGCTGGGATGAAAGGAGTGAGCCACCACACTCGGCTGTCAAAGCACACTTAAATAGCTGCATGTTTAGAGAGAGTTAAGTAGGTGATCATGAAGATAAAAACACATTAAAAAATGAACAGAACCCCAGGTGCAGTGGCTCACACCTATACTCCCAGCACTCAGATCTCTTGAGGTCAGGAGTTCGACAGTAGCCTGGCCGACATGGTGAAACCCTGTCTCTATGAAAAATGCAAAAATTAGCTGGGTGTGGTTGTACACATCTGTAATCCCAGCAACTCGGGAGGCTGAGGCATGAGAGTCACTTAAACCTGGGAGGCAGAGGTTGCAGTGAGCTGAGGTCATGCCACTGCACTCCAGTCTGGGAGACAGAGTGAGACTGTCTCAAAAACAAAAATGAAGAGAAAACCAACAAACATTCAAGGAGTGAGAGACTGGAGTTGCTTTCTTTAGACATTCCTTGATGTACTCCTAAAGCAGGCTTGCTGCAGGAAGGGTTGTATCGCCAAGTTATCTCCTCAGCTTTCTCCTTTTTACCCTAATCACCCTGAACATCAACAATACATTCATACTAGAGGCACTTTCCATGTTATATATTTTATACTGTGCTATAGAGTACCTTTGAGGGACTTCTTTGCTTCCGTCCAAACCTAAAGTGCAAAGGAATTCTATTCTTTAAATCAGGGGGTGAAAAACTAAACTTTTTCGTAAAGGACGAGACAGTAAATGTTTTCATCTTTGCAGACTCTATGGACTGTGTGGCAACTGTTCAGCTCCGTGGCTGTAGTGTGAAAGGGGTGACAATCCCTCAGTGAATGGGCATGACTGTGTTCCAACAGTGTTTCATTTATGAACATGGAAATATGAACTCCATATCATTTTCATGGGTCACAAAATACTATTCTTCTATACATTTTTTTTCCCAACCATTTAAAGATAGGAAGGCCATCCTTAGCGCACAGGCCATACAAAAATCGGCAGAGACCTCCAGCAGCTGTTTTCCAACTCCTGACTTAAATAGATGAGATTGGATAGAACTGCTTTGTCGCCCAAGCGTTTACCTTCAATGCACATGATTAATTCATCTGGCATTAAAGATAAGCTTAATCCTTGGGCATTTCTTGAATTGGCTAATCAATAACTCCTGCAAGTTGGTGGACATGTCCAGAGATGAATGCTGGGCCCTGGTCAGTGTGATCCAACCCATCAGAGGACAGCTACCAATTTCCATCAACCCTTTGGCTAGTAGAGGGGGGGTTGAGAGGGGCAGAGTGAAATGTTTTGTGCCTAGAAGCATGCACATAGCCAGTACCCAAGATGATCTTGCCTTCTCTTCAGCATCCTCTTCTCTGTCCACGCTGCCACTTGGTCTCCATAATAGCTCTTGGGTTTTGGAGTGAAACACACCTAGGTTCTAAATCTGGTCTGCCACTTACTAGCTGTATAATTCCAAACACACACAACCTGAACAGCTCTGAAGAAAAAAGGCTGGGGAAATGTAACCAGTGGAGGACACAGTGGGTGAACCGTCTGGGTGATTCTCTCCAGAGGGTCACAGAAAAACATATAAAACCAGAAATAGGACACAATGCCCTCCATTCCTGCAGATGGAGTGTGAGGACAAAGAAAGCCCTGGCAAAGCAATTCCAGGGGGTTTCCTGGAAGCAGAGTGGTTCCCCTGGGAGAGCAGTACCAAACGGAATCCTTCGTAGCTGAAATCCAAAAAGGACTTCTGGGGGATATTTCTGTTTCTTCACCAGTATGTAAAATCCTTGCAAATTCTGACCTTGGGCTTTCAGAGCCCAGAGGACTAACAAATGGCCATCCTGACAATTGTCTGAGGCTTTACATCTTACCTGCTTGACTAAGCTACAGCTCAGGAAGCTATCTGTCAATATAAAGAAAACAAATTAGCCTGATTTTTGTCCTGCTGAATTTACATTCTAAATCCAAGAGTCCTCTGATGTCAGAGTAAAGAAGATTGACAGTAGAAAAAGAACAAGACAGTTCAGTGCAACCCCCACCTTTTCATTCTCCATGGATGCCTGCAAGTGCAGTGGAAAGCAACTGCAACCTACAGGTAAGAGCACAGCCCTCTGAGGCCCTCTCAGTGGCTAAATACTCACATGGGGAACTAACCTAAAAAAGTTAATTTTGACAATTAAAAAGTCAGCAGAGATCTTCAGGGCTAACCCTCTTTCCCTCTCATACAAAACTTATTTATACTGGAAACATTATGAATCTTAATCCAAGCTAATTTTCCCATCAGCATCATGATTAATTACCCAAATAAAACATTTCTTTTGCATGTGGAGTACTTAATCCAATGGTACCTACAAGGCTAGAGGTAGATTGATTTATTTATAAATTTAACGCTGGTAGCCAATTCTGTTAGCTTGAGAAGTTCAGTAAAACTTCTGTCTTTTTGAAAGGTAAACGAATGTTGAAAAAAAAAAAAACCCTAGAAATAATCATCTTTAGAAGTATAAAAATGTTATTCCCAGCAGAACCCCCGTGTACACTGAAAGCAGCAATCATTATATGAACTGTTCTGAAGTTACATTTGCTAAAATCAAGATTGTTATTCACCAATAAGAACATATTCTCACAGACAGCCTTTGTGACAGGTCATGTTTGGTAGCCATGGCGTTCTGGATCTGCTTGTGCCCGTGACTATTTTAAGCTCATTATCTAACCTTGCCAAGAGTGGCCTCCCTAGATGGTCACTCAGCAAACACCTCCACAGCAGAATTTCCTAGACAGGATTAGTGCTCCAGCCCTTACCGGATGAGATGCCTCACTGCAGCGTCAAACTGCAAAAACATGACCTCCCTCCGGAGGAGAAGTGCCTGGGCCACCCGGGTAGGGTCTTGGGGGCTCTGGAGGCTGTCAGTCATGTTCTGCAGCTCTTGAAGCTCAGAACCTAGAAGATGGACAATATTTTAGTCTGACAATGTGAAATATAGGCTACTATAGCTAAACCAGTAAACCAACATTTTGTCCCATACTTATCACCTAATCAGACTTCCCGTGTTTTGTTTGTGGGTATACTAATTATATGTTTTGCAAGACCAGCAAAGCCTTATGCTCTAGAATTAAAGGTCTGATTTATGTCTCCTTTCTTCCTCAGGAAGATAAAAATTTGCTTTGCTTTTCAGTACAATAAGAACAGGCCAGGAAAGAAAGTTTTAAAATTTATAAGGCTATGGTCTTGAAATAGAACAAAAAGGAGAAATGACAAGGAATAGGAAAATCTAGTCCCCAGTATATCTGTTAGGTACTTGAAGTGATCAGAGATTATGAATCAGCACTCATCTCTTATTGCCATGCTATATCCAAATCAGCTCTGCCTGTCACTGGCTCATGGATTAAAGAAGATTCAAGACCATCTAAAGCAAGTAAAAAGCACATGTGCATATATGTATATATAAAGATATGCAACATATGTATACATACACATATGTGTATACATATGCATACATATCCTTCTAGGAGATTCTAGTCATTTTAGGAGCAAATGTGGAGGATCCATATTTGCTTTATTTCTTAGATCCTTACTGTAAGAGTAGGCTATGTATACATAGATTCATATTCATTTTGGGTGAAAATTTAACTTAGGGGCCTTGTGGGGCACTCAGTGCCAGGATGTGGAACCCAGCCTGAGTCTGGATGACCATCCTAGCATCTAGGTATATATATCCTAGTTATTGGCATAGAGAAGGAGCTAGTCAGAACAGGATAGCACAGTGGAAAGTGATGAGCCCTTGGGGAACATGCTTGGGCTCACACTTACAGGGCTACCAGAATGTCAGCTGGTCTGAAATATCCCTGTGAACACAGTGATGGTTTTCTACCCTGAGAGGACATCTCTGTTATTAGAAGAAGGATTGTGAAAACTGATACAGTCCAAGGCAGGAGTGAGACAGGAAGCCCACAGGGCATTTCTGGAGATGCTCTATCTTGACAGCTGGTCCACATGCAAGCAGCCTTCTTTCCTCCCTAGCCCAGTACTGGGCTCCAGCATCTACTGAGTGAGAAAGCAGAGAGTTGTGGGAGGGGGAAGCTGTCCATGAGAGCTTGATCAGGCAGATCCAGGGCTGAGAATGGTTGCTAACATATGTAATATGTGCTCTTGGCTTTAAGAACAGATGAGCAGTCCAGATTTCATACCCATTTGCTGTTTTATACAATACAAAATTTGTTTTATTTTTGTTTCCAGCCCCAAATAATTGAGTCCAATCAGCAAACTTTTTATGACTCCTCTAAATCTGATAGTCCTACTGGGCTGAAGAGTTCACCAGAAGAAGAGTCATATTAGAACGAATTGTACAAGAACTTTTGTGGTGATTGGAGGGAGGAGAGGTGGTCAGGGAGCCTCATTTGTTCAAGGCCTAGTGTGTTCGGTCTACAAGCAATATACTCTATCAGGCTATGCTGTAACCAGAGGAAAATTTCCTAATCCTCTGCAATGACAATGAAAGAAGGAGAATATAAAATTACACATACCCTGTGGTTAAAGCTCTGTAAAATATAAATATGGAATATATTTGGGCAGGGGCTAGAAGGGAGTAAAGATAAATAAAATTATTTCACTTGTTAGAGTGGCTGGCTTACAGGTGATTTTTTTTCTGTCATTTCCATCCTTTATATACTACTGGTTGTGCACTTGGCATGTGATCGCTTCCCAGCAAAATTGTTGTATGTTGATATGTAGTATTATCATTAAAATACAGATGTGGAGGCAGGACTGCCTTTCCTTTGTTATTTTACTGATCTTTAAATCCTCGTTCTGACTTTCCTTCCTTTATGGAGTCAAGAGGCTTGGTGGGAGGGGAGGTGGCAGGACAGGCAGCCTGGCCGTGGGGACAGGGCAGAGGGTTGTTGCAGGCAGCGATGGTGGTGAGGCTGGGGTGAACCCTGTGCCAGGAAACATCAGGAAAGGAGCCTTTGCTCATGCCTTTCCCAGGAGGGTCCCGTTTGGGAAATCAGGGAAGACAGACAGACAGAGAGAGAGGGAGAGAGAGAGGAATCACAGTGGCCCCGTCTCTGCATGAAGACTCAGAGATGGTACACTTCATTCCTGGTTTCCCTGAGTTCAGTGTGAAGTATTTGGGCTTTAATTGGCCTACTTATCCTTTACAAAGGAAGTCACAATGTAAACGTTCACATTCTGATTACATCCTCTGCTTCACGGGGGACTTCAAAGGGAGTTACTGGCTTTCCGGGAAGAAGAGAATTTGGCTGCATCCACAGAGCTGGTCCACAGTATCTAAGAGCTGTTTTCTTCAGTCAAGGGGAGGACCAAAAGCTGAAATCTTGAATTTCCCTCAAGATTTGTTTTAAAAACACTTTAAAGCATGTAAGTCCACAAAAGTAATTTGAACTAACAATTAGAACTAACAATTTAGAACTAACTCTAAATTGTTCTGAGATGGCTTAAAGGAACAGACTCTCGTTTCATCTTTCCCCTTAGTTCTTCTTGCCTCCTCTGGGAAACAGGCCAAGAACTAAGTGGCCTAGTCTTTTTAAAAAGATGATTATCTTGGAGGGGATCTTTTTTTTTTTTTTTTTTTTTTTTTTTTTAAGTTTGCTCTTTATTTTGAGCAAAGCAGAGCATGTAAAACTGTACATTCTCCCTGGAGCACAAATGTGCAACATGACAATGCATGCCTCTCTGCATGCTTCAGACAGCCTGGGCCCCACATATCTCAATGGTTTCTGGGTTCACAGTGCAGAAATGGCAAGAAAACAATTCCCTTCTTCCTGAATTCCAGGTCCTCAACTTGGGCCTCATTTCCCGTGATTCCTCGGAGCCATACTCATGGGTTCGTTCATGGGCAGGTTCACTTCTCTGGACTGGCCACGTGCAGTTCTGCCTGCTGCTTTTGCCAGTGTCCTTTTCTTATGTTGCTAGGACTGTCCCTCCTATTTTCTACACTGATCCAAGTCCGCTCCTCTCCAGTCTGGGAACCACCCTAGATCACCTCCCTGATCTGGGGAGGTTTTGCCCGGGGGCACCCTTTACTCCCAGCTGCTATAGGACTGCCTGTGTAGTGACTTCACCAGGAAATATGGCTCTGGCTCTCTCGGTTTCTATCTCATCTCCATGTAACAACTGCCTCCCCATCTCAAGGGCAGGCAGGACATTTCTCTTGGCCACACTCCTTCTTCTTGTGCCTTAGCTAAAGCTCAGCCCCCACACCCTCCCGACATCCAACAGCTCCGCTAAGAGTGTCTTAGCTTATTTTCTGAGTAAGCCCCACTTACAACAGTCCCCAAACCAGTAAAAGGAAAGGACCTAAGAGTGCTTGGAGCTTCTCTAATCGGATGCTTATGTTGAAGACTTGTGAGTCACTCTGAGAGCTCATTACTCTGCAACAATTCTGTGCCTTCTGCTGAGGTGGCACCACTACCACTCTGTCTTTATCCTGCTGCTCCTAGACACAGGCATTATCCTCCTCCCAGATCAGCATGCATGCCCTTCCCTATGTCCACATCTAAATATTTACAGAGCCCTTCAGTGTTCCTTAGCACAATGCAAATATACCTGCCACCAGCTCCAAGGTCTCCTACAAATGTGTTTCCTTTATGCACCAACCAGCCACAGGGGAATATCCTCAGATTCTCTGACATTTGTTTTAAGAGCATTAGGTTTAAACAGGCATGTTACCTCATTTCTTAGGCTCTTCTTGTTCTTTTAAATCCCCAGCTACTATAGTATTTTGCTATTAATTGATATTTACATGACCAGTGACATTATTTGGATGGTAGTCACATTATTAAGGCAAGATTACTTTCCCTGATTCTGATAAACATAGCTTAGTAAACATTTCAATGTTTTTAATTCACCTCATGTGTTTATCTTATAATATAACCTGTGCTGATGAGCACTGGGCGTATAAAACTAAAGCCTCAATCATTCTTACCACAAAAACTTTTAGGTGATTTATAGCTAACCAAGGGCTGTTTACAAGCTTCTTAATAGGGAGTGATTGGCTCTGACCTTGCCATGTGAGTTTATGAAGGCCAGGAAGGAAATGGGAACAAAAGAAAACTAATATTTAATGGGGGCTTATATATCCTAGAATTTTGACCTAAATTTCAATCCACAGAACATCTGTATGAGACAGATACTATCACTCCATTTTATAGATGGACAAGCAGAGACCCAGAGAGTAAAGTACCCAGCTTTCAGTAACCAAGTGGCAGAGGCAGAGTAAGACCCAGGCCTCCCAACTCCTGACTTGGTGCACTTTGTGGTATAGCCTGTGAATGCGGAATCAAGCAGATAGCTGTGCAGTGTGGAGACAGTCTATAAGACAGTTCGGACTCTTCCTTTGCCCTTCTGATTGCTGTCATTTATGAGAGTATATTGTAGTTCTGTCTTTCCGAGTATTAAGAGCTTCATAGAACTTCCAGTGAATATTGAAGGTGATTTGAATCACCTTTAATCACTCACCAATGCCTTCAGTTCCTCCCCAGTCTCCTCTCAAAGGGTTGGGACTTAGAGGAAATTCAAAACATGCTGCACAATTGCCAAGCTTAGCAAAACTGACAAGGTAGGCCACGATATCATGCAGAGGAGCTATCAGCTGTAGAGTTCGCTTTAAGGCTTTAAAAGCTGCCTGTGGATAAAATCAATACAAGGAAATACATTTTAGGACATTTCTAAGAGGCATATAAAGACATATGAACACTGAATGGGGACGATATCTTTAAACAAGAATATTTCAATAAACATTGGCACAGTATATACAGGATAATATCAGAAAAGGAACACTAAACCTATTCATGAACCAGGGTTACATGCCCTTGGACAACGGAGCGCCTATGAGGGGTTAAAGCAATGTGTTTCTTTGTTTAAAGTCACTGAAGGCCATGAACACATCAAAATGTTTGTATGGCCATCAATGAATTACAAGGGTCACAAATCAATTCATAGAAGGGATTCATATTCAGACAACATTATCTTGAGGGAATACCTGTAAGCGAGGTATAGATATTTATCAACATTGTATAAACCAACACATGACTGAAAATTAAACCGTGGATCTTATATATCAAAGTCCAAGTGGAGGAAAAGTGAAAAATTATGATCTAAATGCAGAAGGTAGTATTTCCATATTTTTAAAAATAAAAATCTGAAACTTCTTCAGTGAAAGTAGGGGTAAGAAACCAAGTTTGCTAAACAGGATTTCACTTACAAAGAAAAATCAGAATATTCCCCAAATGCCATTTTCAACATTGCAATTTATTTCTTTAGGAAATACTTATGTTTTATGTGTTTCTATGTTTTCTTTTTAAAAAAATTGTTACCAACATTGCCCTTGATCAGTAAGTGAGGTACACAGAGCACCCCTCAGAAAACAGTAACCCTGACTTACAAGTGTGATCTCAACCTCTCATTAGCTTCAGAGCGTCAGTGGGGTTTTTTGGAAGGGTTGGAAAGAAACTGAAGATTAATAAGAAACGTTAGAGGCTTGAATTAGGGTTCATTAGTGACCAGTGAGAGAGAGAAATCATAGCATAGTGAGGCCCAAGACAAATTATAATAAAGCAGAAAAGGCTTCTGTGAAAAAGATTTCTGTAGTTAGATGTCTGAATAAAACAAGGGATGTTCTCTGGAATTGATAAGTTTAACTGTGAGACAAAACCCAGCCAGTTTCCATTCTGGCACACATACAAAAAAATACAAACCTTTTCTGGCAGAGTTTTGAACATAATCAGCACTTCAGAAGAATGGGGTATGAACCATAAATTGAGGAAGACTTTTCCATCCGCTGACAGCAAACATCGTGGCCGGGGCTGAAATCTTCTGCAAGTGTTAGAAAAAAGGATCCATAGCATGCATTTCCCTCTAAACAAGAGGCATCATGAATGACCCTGTTGAATCACCACCCTCTGTCACATAGGCCTGTCACCACAGGCCCAGCATCCACACCCCAGGGCAGCAGCCCTTTTCATGTCGCTCCCAGGTGGCCAGTTCATAAATAACTCAACAGGAAGAAGAGCAGTTAGGCTGATTTTAGCCAGAGCTGCGTGGGGGAAGGAGTGGGGATGGAGGGAGTGAAAGGCGTGGTGAGAAAAGACAGGAAGGCCATGAATTAGATGGCCAGCACCACACTAGGTGGTACATATTTTATGTCACTTAATTCATCTGGCAACCTCAGGATGGATCTATTTTTGTTCCTCTTTCACAGCTGAGGAAATTGATGCCCTGAGAAGTTATGGAGACCTACCCAGCTCCTAAGATGAAGTTAGAATTCAAATGCACATCTCTTTGGGAGGCCGAGGAGGTGGATGATGAGGTCAGGAGATCGAGACCATCCTGACTAGCATGGTGAAACCCCATCTCTACTAAAAATACAAAAAATTAGCCAGGCGCAGCGGCGGGCACCTGTAGTCCCAGCTACTTGGGAGGCTGAGGCAGGAGAACAGCATGAACCTGAACCTGGGAGGTGGAGCTTGCAGTGAGCAAAGATCGCGCCACTGCACTCCGGCCTGGGCGACAGAGTGAGACTCTGTCTCAGAAAAAAAGAGAGAATTCAAATGCACATCTATCTGTCCAGCTGTAGAATCTGGGCTCCAAAACCAGGCTCCGTTTCTCTTGCCTTGCCACCACATTTCTTGCCAGGTTCTCCAGCTTCTGGTCTTCTTTTCCTCCTTTCTCCTCCTCCTCCAAATACCTTATTATTTCTTAATAAGGTTAGTCATCTCTTCGTTTAGTCGGCTCTTTGTTGCAGGTTTATATATAAATGTATTGTCCATATATGTCTGGTTTAAGGATTCACACAAGCCCAGGTACCCACCACCTGGCCTGAGAAAAGGAATGTTGAAGCCTGATGTGCACTTCCCTGGTGGCCCCCAGATGAACCTCCATCCTGAATTTTACATCAATCAATGCCTTGTTTTTTCTGATGGAAAATCCTTGGTTCACCTGTGCTGCTGCAAGTGACTGATTTGTGGGTTATTAGGTTGATTCCATATCTTGGTTGTTGTGAATAGTGCTACAATAAACATAAGTCTCAGGATTTTAATCAGTTAATTCTCAGCTCAGGAATAAAGTATGGTCTTAGTTTGGAGAATTGCCTGTTTTTTAGCAACCACAAAGTCAAACAATTCCTGTCCTGAAACAGACCAAAGCCAGCGTAATTCAGTCTCATCTCTATTATTCAGTTCACCGTGCTCATTCCTGCCTAGAGGTAACAATGAATATCAAAACTAAAAAGTTGCAGGGTCTGCATCTCCTTCCTTGGCTTCTGAGAAGCACATGTGTCCCTGGAGCCACTGGGCCCTCTACCAAGTGCTATCCTTTACTTCTTACCTGTTATTTCCTGCCATTTCCAGTCCTGCCTGCAGTGAGCAGCCATCGGCTGAGAAGAGCAGAGATGACTGCAGAAAGCTTTAGGTGCTCAGTACATGAAGCATAGCCTGGTTCTCAGCCCCACAAGGAGACTTGCCCTGCCCCTTGTGGATGGCCTGCCAATTATCTGGCCTGGCAGTTTCCCAACCTGTTCACACTGTCCCCTTTAATTCCCCTTCAGCTGACCACTTCTGGGCCACACCCAAGACTTTATTATTTTCTGAAACCATATCACCTCCAAAGTCTTAACTTTCCCAGTCCCATATTTTATTCCTACAGTTTTCTGAGTCATCCACTCTTACTAAACTTCCCTTCCTTTATTCCAAAATAGGTTCCTTGACATCATCCAGTCCTCTGGTCTCCCCTTCCATCTGTCAGCTCCTTTCTGACCTCACTCCCTTCCCTACCCAGACTGGATCTCACAGTCAAGCACACGAAGCACTCTCTCCCCAGCACCTTCAATTCTCTGCTGCTTCGTACTCACAACCCATCTACCTATCAAAGCCCCAGTTCTGGGTCCCTCCAACTGCTCAGCTTGCTGTTTCTGATGGCATGCTGCTGAGCACAGCTGGAGGAAATCACACTGCTAATTATACTGATGGAAATGGTTTCCAGCCTGAGCTATGTCACCCTGGAACAATCCTTTTCCTTTCCTTTCCTTTGATCAGCTCTAGTGCCCATTTTCTTGTTTCATGATTCCAAGCCTTCTTTAAGGCCCCCACACCAAATTCCTGCCAGCAGATGATGACACGGTCTGCTATTTCATGATTAAATTAAAGGCCACTGCTGGAACTCCCTCTCCTTCCTGATGGCCTATTTCCCCAACCCTCACCCCTAATACACATACACCCTCCCTTTCAACCAGTGTCAAAGTCAGAGGTGCACACCTGGGATACAAAATGAAGACATCCTCTGCCCTCCATGCTCTTACCTTCCAGAGGCAGCTGGGAACCATGACACTGTGGTAGCAGCATGGCTAATGGAAGTGTACCATAGTGCAGAGGATGCCCAACAAGAAGCACCTGAGCCTTGTTGAGACGCTGGTGGACACAGCTGAGGCTTCTGAGCTGTGATTTCTCATCTCCCTCCACATCTCTTTGTCCCAATGACATTGTCATCTTTTCCCCTCCATTAAAAAAATTGTGGTAAAATATACATAACACAAAATTTACCATTTTAGCCTTTTTTTTTTTTTTTCTTCAGAGCAGGAGTGGAAGTTTATTTAAAAGACTTTAGAATTCTTTTGTAGTTCATGAGCCTGACAATTGGGTGTTCACACATGTGTGTGAGATGTGCTACTCTCGAACCTTGGTACAACGTCATCACACTACCTGTCTGACCTCAAACTGCTACTGGGTGAACTCCAAGAAAGGTAAAATCTGTAGCTCAGGACACGTGGAATTTCTGTGCCGTTTATGTGTTGGGGGGAGAAACACCCAAATTCTCCCAATACATTGCAAGTCTCCTAGGACAGGCACGCATTTGATGGCCTTGAAGAAGTGTTCGTTGTATTTGCTGAACCTCCTGAGAGGCCAGGCACGCCACCAATACATTTCAGATTAGTTGGGCAACGGGGCCAACCACGTGCTCCCCACGCCGCCTGCGCTCCAGGGGCACTCACATAGGCTCCCCTAGAATTTCTCCAGGAAGCCGTTGGGTAGGGCTGAGGTGGCAGCTCCGCCGGCGGCTTCTTCACCCGCTGTGCCGAGTGAGAGCGCCGCCTGTGCTTCCCGGAAATAGGTTTCAGCTCCTCTAAGGTCGTGGCGCAGCTGGACTCCGAGACTGAGTCGCCGCCCAGGAAGCGGGACTGGGCAACAAGGCTGGGGTCTGGCCGGGGTCAGAGCCGAAACCGGGGTCCGAGTCAGAGGGGAAGCCGGGGCCAGGCTCCAAGAGGCCGCAGGGGTCCCAGACAGAGCGTAGCTTGACGCCACAAGGTTCGGGGCCGGGAAGGTCCCGGAGTCGGATCAGGAACCGGAATTGCTGCCGGGCGGGGCTTCAGGGCAGCCCTCAGAGCGGCGACCGTCGATGGGGCAGGGGCAGGGGCCGTAGCCATACCCGGCGTTGGAGGGGACGACGCTCCTCTGCCAGAGGTGGAAACCCCAGGGATCCGGTCTGCAGGCGCCACTGCCACACTGACTGCCTGGAGGCACCGCTCTTCTTCCAGTGGCCAGGGTGGCAGGTGGACGCGCACCACTGGATCGTCCTGCTGGCGCCCATGATGCTGATGGCCGCGCTGGGCACCGGCTTCCTTCACCTGCCCAAGGACGAAGAGGAAGATCTGGAGGAGCAGTGCACCGGTGGGGAGCCGGGCCAAGGCGGAGAGACGCTTTGTGCAGGGGCTGTTTCACCACCAACAATTCCTACCACCTCTCCGCCTCCAGGAGGTGCACCCAGGCCAGTTTCACCTGGATGCTGGTGGGCTCCCACAGCAACCCACTGCCAGAACCGGACATCTTTGCGAAGTCAGTAAATTGGACAGCGTGGTGCAGGATCTACGTGTGACACAGGGAAACGGAAGCCAGATCCAGTTCGAGTAGGTGTGCGTGAGGTACAAGAGGCTCTGTGTGCCCCCCAACCCGTTCCTGGATGCCTGGCAAGTGGACAAAACATTCGACCTGAGTTACAACCACAGTGAGCATCCCTATGCTGATCGGCTTCTTTGGAGGACACATCTTGAAATGTAACTGGCCTAGGTAATGGGCCAGTTACTCCTGCAGGCCAAAGCCATGTGGCTGCTGAACTGCCTGAAGAGCACCCTGAGGAAAACATGCAGAGCAAGAGTGGCTCAACCCATTTCCTCAACCAATTTAGCAACATTAAGAACACTCTGGCCTTGAAGAAAATTGAGGTATCTGGTAGTTCAGGTTTACAGGGAGGTCAGGAGAAAGTGGGAGGGATGAGGAAGACTTGCTCCGAGAACCCAAACAAAAGCACTGCATGATTACTTGACGGGGTCCTTGCCTCACAGCTGGGTTTGCTCTACTTAATCCAACTCTCTTTTTTCTTTCTTTCTTTCTTTTCTTTTCTCTTTTTTTTTTTTTTAAGGCGAGTTTTGCTCTGTCACCCAGGCTGCAGTGCAGTGGCATGATCTCGGCAGCTGGGATTACAGGTGCCCACAACCACGCCCAGCTAATTTTGCATTTTTAGTAGAGACAGAGTTTCACCTTGTTGACCAGGCTGGTCTCGAACTCCTGACCTCAGGTGATCCACCTGCCTTGGCCTCCCAACGTGTTGAGATTACAGGCATGAGTCACCACACCTGGCCAATCGAACTTCCTTAAATTAACACTATTGGGGCCGGGCATGGTACCTCACACCTGTAGTCCCAGCACCTTGGGAGGCTGAGGCAGGTGCATCATCTGAGGTCAGGAGTTCGAGACCAGCCTGGCTAACATGGTGAAACCCTGTTTCTACTAAAAATTAAAAAAAAATTAGCCAGGCATGGTGGTGCATGCCTGTAATCTCAGCTATTCCGGAGGCTGAGGCAGAAGAATTGCTTGAACCCAGGAGGTATATGTTGCAGTGAGCCGAGATCGCACCATTGCACTCCAGCTTGGGAACAAGAGCAAAACTACATCTCAAAGTAAAGAAAGAAAGAAAGAAAGAACACCAATGGATGCCGGAAATCGTGAACCCTTGGTAACATTCAAGTCGATAACACAAATCTTGTGTCTACCACATGAGGCTGTTCAGTATAAACATTGATGTTCATGTTTGATTTGGAGGGTTGGTTTCCAACCAAATTACAGTACTTTGAAATTCTACTTTTAGTTGAAGTTTTCACTGGTTTTGGGAAGTCCCCAAAACTTGCTTGTAGCTCACTGAGTATATTTTTTGTGGCAGGTGGTCCACTTTACATTGCTTTCCAGACAACTGGAATTTGAGGCAACTTCTATGACAATGATCCCTTTGTTTCACTTGGCATATGTTCTAATCATACTGTTGGCTAATCATATTATTGTTGCTGCAAGTTCTGGATCGAAAGTATCTGTGAGCCTCAAGAGGAGGCTGAACTGGCCCACCCTACTCTCACCAATGAGGAGGATCTTCAGGGTGGTCTGCACGTCCTCGTCCATCCTGACCCTGCTCAGCTCCGAGCCCAGCTGGCCACCCCAGGGCCCACCTCTCAGTCATCTAGCCATTTTTAAGTGTATAGTTCCGTGGAACTGAGTGCATTCACAGTGTTGTGCAACTATCACTACCATCCATGTCCAGAACTCCAGAACTTTTTTCGTCTTCTAAAACTGAAAGTCTGTGTCCATTAACAATAAGGGCACTGCTGTCTTCTCATTCACCCAAGCCAGAGATTCCGAGTGACATCTTAGATTCCTCCGTCTCCCTCAGCTTCATATTATATCCGCCATCTGGCCTAGCTGATTTCACCTTCTAAACATCTCTTGTCTCTACAATTTTAGTAGCTTCCTACATAATGTCACTGACAATCATCTTGCTCCACTTTTCCCAATGACCTGAAGGACAAACACAGACTTCTGGCTCTTTCCTCACCCCTCAATACATTCTACTTCCCATTGCTGCCCTCACAAACTCCGGATATGAGTCCCACACAAGTCCACATGCTGTCTCACACCTCTGTTCCTTTGTACATGCAATTGTCCCAGCTTGAGCTGAATTTCTTTTCCCTGTCTCCCTGGAGCACTAGTTGTCATTCAAGACCCAGGTTAAGCATCCCCTCTTCCCTGGAGCCTTTTTTGCTCCCCATTCCCATCAACCCAATCCTTCAGATAATACTATTTCTTGGTGGGTGCTTTCATTAAACATTTATTTTACTTTATTCTTTATCACAGTGTACTGTAATTACCTATTTCCTGTTGCTGGGGAAGGACCAGCACTTGATACCAAGGCTGCCATATACTGTTGTTCAGGTTGTACCCTGAGGCAACAAGCGATGGCCAAGATCCAACCTGTACTTTACTTACTAGATGCTTTTCCCTGGTATGAGACTACAGCTGCCCAGATGAAGGGGTGCTGCCTTCTAATTTGCACAAAGTAACTATATGGGATGACAGTGGCTCTACTTGTCACAAAGTAAGGGCTCAATTAATGTTAGCATCCTCTCTCTGTTCATCAGCAAATGCAGCTGCTCCTGGAGTGGATTGAAGTGTCATCCTAGGCTCCAGACTCCAGTCTCCTCTAGGGCCATGAAGGGAATGGAACCCTCAAGGGACTTCCTGCTTAGGAAGAGGGCTCCCCTTGGCTCCTCCTCTACCGGGACAGGGGTGTCTTTGCTAAACCAAACACAATACATTACAGCCTTTGCAGAATTAAGTAGGGCTCTTCTAGTCAAGGATGGCAAACCCATAGCATGGAAATTACCTTTCTGCCTTTCCTTGAGCATGGCAGACGTTGCCAATCAATTACAATTACTCTCACAAACTTGAGATGCCTCAGAATCCTCAGCAGGGCCATTAATGCATTGTTTGAACTGACATTTAGAATAAACCTTATTTCTTATCCTCATTCTAACTCAACCCCTTATTTTATGAATCAGATGAGGACCTCTTTCCTCTATGGTCCTCACTCCTCAACTCTGTCCCTTCATCTCTAGTTAACTCTGGCTTGGGAGGATTCCTATTTGCCATGTCCTGAGCAGTCTTCAAAATGGTCCCTTTCCATAAAGTATTTCTTCAGCAGTCCTATTCCTTGGAATCATGCTCTAGATAACTTACCACCAAGAATCATAACATGTTTAACTTCAGAGAGCTGCTTCTTCAATTTTCTCAGTCATTAGATGAAGAGATTGAGGCCCAGAAATTGAAGACAAGTGATTTGCCCAAGACCTCAGGGCAATGTATGACTGAGCTGGGCAAAGTCCAAATATTCTGACTCCCAGTCCATGTCTCTCTCCACCACATCTTCTTGTGGCTGATATTTAATTTTCATTAGTTGTTCCTCAGTGCATGGAACCACTGACTTTGGAGTTAGAAGAGTCTTATACAGTATTTTTCCAAACTTTCACATAAGACAGATTTTCCTTTTTCTACATTCCCTTTTACATGAGTGTATTAAAAGGGTTATGTTAACATCTAGAGAGTTTAGGAAGCAGGAGATGGGTGTAGGAGAGAAACACTGAGCCTATATCAGTTGCAGCTCA